GTACAGTGCGAAAGCTTCAAGTGTATTTAGTTATTTAGTCACGTTTCAAGAAGAGATGGAAAATTAGACAAAGATACTAAAGCATTAATCATGTAAGTCCTGAATATAAAACTAAGGAGTTGATTATTCAATTTTGGCTGATTCCTAATTTTTCGTATTTAATCAGCGATAATAAAGAAATCTCTGTAGCATATTTTCGTTCCGGATATAGTCCCAAAGATTATCCAACTGAAAAGGTAATAATAATCTTATCTGGTACAAGCATCAATAACATGCATATAAATTATTCACAATTTTTTATGTGAATCCAGGAATGGGATGCAAGACTATTAATTGAGCGTTCAAAAGCAATCAAATGCCCTACTGTTGCTTATCAACTTGTTGGTGTAAAAAAGATGCAACAAGTATTGGCTGTTCCTGGTGTTCTTGAAAAGTAATGTTTATAAAATATTACTACTCATTGTCAGCACTGCTTAAACATCATCATCGAAATATTTTATATTTATTCGATCAAACTTTTTACAGATACATATCTAACCCGTCAGATATAACTAAATTACGATCATGCTTCGCGGGTCTGTATCCACTGGACTCTAGTCCTGAAGGCGAAGCAGCTGCGAAACTTGCTTTGGAACATCCTGAGCGATTTGTGATGAAACCACAACGTGAAGGCGGAGGTAGCTTATTTACTTTTACGTGTTTTACTTATTAAATCATCTAAATTTATAATATTAAATATTTAATATTTAATATATAATAATACTTTTATGTTATTGATATATAATGATAAAAATTAAACAGGAAACAATATATATACAAAAGACATTCCTCAGTTACTTAGAAGTATAACTCCGTTAGAACGATCTTCATATATATTAATGGATTTAATACAACCACCAATGATGAAGAATATTATTATAAGAGAAGGTAAAGTCATTCAAGGTGAAATGATTTCAGAGTTGGGTATTTACGGTGTCTTCATAGGAGATAATAACGGAGATGAGGACGTAGTGATTAATGAGATAGGTGGACATTTGTTGAGAACTAAGGGTAGAGAAACAAATGAGGGAGGAGTTGCTACAGGGTATTCTGTTATTGATTCACCCTTATTAATTTAATCAAATCGGATGATTGTATTTATATAGAGTTTTTTTCTATATATATTCATAGATTTGTTTTAAAATAGTATAGTCTATGTAAATTAATATGCGTTGTGATATAGAGAAGTTGATTGTACTAGATATATTAATTCACTAATTTAATAATTTACATAATGGTTTATTACATTATAAAAGATGCATCACGGCGAATTTATGAAATTAGAGCATTTGACTAAATTATAAAATACGCCACTTACTATATATTTGTTTTTAACATTTCTTATTGTAAAATCAAGTAGATAACATCTAACCTATCTTTCACAGGAAGATGGGTTAGACGTTATCTATATGATTCTATAATAAGAAATGTCAAAAACAAATAGTAATTGACGCACTTTATAGTTTAGTCAAATACTTTAATTTTATAAATTCACCATAATGGCTTATAATTTTTTACTTCAAATCAAATTCAATTTATGATTTAACAAAATTTAAATTTTTACATATTAAAAATTTTTATATAATAAATTGGTATTTATGTTTTTTTATTTTTTATTATGATACTTAAATAAAAATATTAATATACAAGTATTATTATTATTATTTTTTTAATCTTCAAAGGTGAAGTTATGCTTCTATTTTTATTAAAATTTGAAATCAAGAACATAACTATAAAAAGATTAAACTGTATTTTTTTTTTTTTTTTTAATATGTTAGTAGCCTCGCTAGTATCTTTATTAGATTAAAACATATATATACATATATTAAACTATCTAAACTATAGATCTGATATTTTTTAGTTATCCCAAATAGTATCCAAAAACAGTTTACCTTACTAGTTAAGGTATTTGCCTGTACTAGAGGACTATATCAAGCTAGCTAGTGAAACCATATCAAAAAAGTTTTATTTTATTTATAATTTTTTTTTTTTTCTACTTAGGTTGTCTTGTCAGTGATCCTTTATTAAGATTATTATACAAATAAATCATATAATGTTGAGCTTAATATTTAGGTCTAGCATCCTGCAGTTATTTCAAGAGTATTTACAAGCAACCAGCTATACTAGACCAAACTTTCATTAAAGAACCTCGATGACTTAGATTAATAACCTAAGCCAAATAACCTAAATCAAACCTGGGAACCATGTCAGACCACCACCCTACAATAGAATATCGCCAATCTGATGACATCTTCTTGTAGAGAAGTGAAAAAACAAAAAAAATTCACTAATACTAATATTAATCCTAAAAAGAGGAGAGAAAAAGAACGAGAACTAATACTAAAAAAAAACAAATACAAAAACGAAAGGTGAGATAAAAAGAAAAAAAAGAAATCTGACAGTCACAATTATTGGCCTGTGTCGGATCTTAAAAAATTATATATTACTAGATAAAGAAGCTCTATAACATTCTCTATCTTAATAAACTATACTTAAGAGGTGAAAAAAATTAAAAAAGCTGGCTAAAACTAGACACCGTAGTCACTCTAGATAGAGTTAGCCCAAAACAAACCAAAACAAACAGTAGTCTTGAAGTATTGTTTTAATGGTTTTTTCAGCTTGAGGCATGTGATTATGTTGTCATAGGGCCCGATCTCGGTTGTTTATTCTGGTCA